TTCTATTGCTGATTAAGCATGTGATATTTTCAAGTGGTATCGATAAATTTTTGTAGCCTTCTTTGATCACTCCTACCAGTGTTAGTATGAAACAAGGTTCTTTTAATTATATTGATTAGTATGTAAATGTATAAAGTGCGCTGTTATAATTTATAAAGACAGAAATAAGACTATTCGTTATTGTCTGTTAATTATTGTCTTATTTTTGGGACAAATAATTATTATTCCATTTCATATTAATAATACTTATTTAATTTTGCGTTATTATTCTGAGCAATAAATATTTTAAGTATTAGATATAGTTGATTGTTAAAGTATGGAGGAAGACAATAGAATTAGAGATCATTAAATAAGATCAGCACACTCTATACACTGATGTAGTCTCTCCTTAAGATTTTGATACTGATATGAAAACACAAAATTCAATTGTGAATTATTTAATGTTTGTATGCTTCATATTTTGAAAGAATGTGCGCGAAACATAATATCATAGTGAAAGAAATATTTGTACTATTCATTGCAAGAGAAATTTATCATGTTTCACGCAATAGATTTTTATGCCGCACTTATTGTCAGTTTACAGTTTAAAAGACACTTCAACAATTATTTACAGCTACATCATATGAATAATCATAATACATATGCGAGTACAAGTAAATCACTAATCGATTGATAGTAACATAATTATTTTCGGGGCAATTGTTAATTTGATAACAGGATCTTAACAAGTACAATTAACGTTATTTATTTATAATATATATATAGGGTATTCCATAATATGTGGTACTTTTTACTCCAATTAAAAAAAAATAAATATAAATTTTATTTGACTATTTAAGAAATATTGTCAGTTTTGTATTGTTTAGCTTTCTATATTTAATTTGGTATTTTTTTATAGGAAATACTAAAAATTATGTAGTAATGATTGGAAAATTATGTTGGAAATTTTAAATTTGTACAAGTTTGATAATTTAGAAATCTACAAATTTGAAATTTGGAGATCTATAAACATGGGTATAGAAATATTAAGTTTCCTAATTTACAAATCCACAAATTTGAAAATTCTGCAAGCTAGAAATTTTCAAAAATTAGAAGTATAAAAATTCTTAATTTTCTAATTTTAGAATTTCCAAATTTCCAAACTTAGCAATTTAGAAATTTGGTCATTTGAAAACTTAGAAGTTTATAAATTTGGCAATTTGTAAATTTAGAAATTTAAAAATCTGAAAATTTGGAAATTCAAAATTAAAAAATTTAGGAATTTAAAAAGTGCCTACTCATTTTATGTTTTTCCATAAGTAAAAATCCAGTGGATTTAAACCCAACCATTAATCCATAATGTTTAGAAAGCATTAAAATGATCATATGAAAAATGAAATAGGGTATGTATATATGTATATGATCCTTTCTCATTATTTTCAAATGTTCAATCATATATGAGTCTCACATATTATGGCACACCCCCTATAGCTATGTATGTTAAATCACGCTTATGTTATTATAGTTTAGCACCTTGTTGATAAACAAAAAAGAGATGGTCTATATGAAGAAATGTGCAACTATTATTTAATCAAAGACAGGGATAAGTTGCTCATTCTTATTCAATGATAGACCTATTTTTGGTATTATGTGCGAGTTCTACAGTTCTCTCTTTTCCAAGCCGCTTCAATTGGAATCGTATTGATACATGACAATTTGTGATTAACAATTTATTAGAAAGAGTTAAGACCATACTCAAAAGCGCACATACAAAATAGAGAGATCCGAAGTACAAATAGACACGATTAGGCGCATCTCACTACTGTTCTAGTCTCTGCTAGTAAACAGTTTTCCCATATCGAAGGAATAGATCCGTTTGTCTTTCTCATAAAATACCAATTTCAAACATTAATCTGAGTTTTTGTTTTTTACATGCACATATAATAGAGGCTGTGGTCTAAATATGGATTACCATTTTTCAGGACTTATTGCCAAGATTGTTAAAGATTTTTAAGATGTAACACTTTAATGTATATTTAAAATAATAGTAGAAATTTTTATTTTTAAAAGTGTGGCTTACATATAGGCCACTTTAACCCAAGGATAAAGTAAAAATAACACGTTTTTAGATAGAAATGTTTAAAAACATGTCCAAAATGTTGATAGAAACAGACTTAAATACTGATGGTCTATTTACAATGGTTACAAATATGTATGTTTTTTCACACCTGCATTATGTACCTATGTATAACATGAACGTTCTTTATCCAAAGTTCTCTTTTTCCTAATATTTCTTTTTGTTTTGTTCAATGTACTTTGGACTTGTTCAAAACTTTCATTATATAATTTATGATAAAATAGTTTTTTAACAATGTGATGATCTTAGTAAATTAGTTCTTAATTTTGAACACCAATTTCATTCAAACTTTGTACAATCATAAAAGATACAAAATATAAGGAGAACAAAATAGAATCAATTATGAACTTACAACAGTTTCTTTTCCTTCTGAACCATAAGTTAATATAATCTTATACTTCAATTAGTTTATACTTAGACTCTAATTTATATTTGGACCACCTCCTCTAAGCATTCATTACATACCAATCCTTGACATTGTAAAATTGTTCTAAAAAGTATCTTACCTTATTTATGTGATATAAATACATTGCCAAAACACAAGCTTGAACACAACATATAAAATACATTGTATATAGTCAAAATATGAAAATATTATATGAAAACAAAATTATTCTATTCCTTCGACTGATGCACCAATTCTTGATAGGCCTCTGTGAATGTGCAAGAATGTGCAGTGCAATCATTGACCTTATTATTGTCATACCCTTTGCATTTAATTTCAATCGAATCGATTGCATATTATTGTCGTTACGATTTCTCATTCTCGAGTCTTAAGAAGTTTGTTATTGTCCTTATACGTTAGAACAATCGTCGTACAAGATCGGCGACATCACGCTAAAATTGCAAAGAAAAACTCGCGTGTTGATACATCGTCTTGATATGCGCTCGTCTCCTTTTCAATTCTATCCCTATCGATATACTTTCAACATGATAAACATTGGCGTAAATAAGAATTTTATCTAGCTCTGGTCATATTACAAAAGCCAACCGGTTTTTGGAAATTTAGGAATTAAAAATTTTGAAATTTGAAAATTTGAAAGCTTCTAAATTTTCAATACAAGGTATTTTATGTTTTAGTTTCTTTGCATTAAAATGGGCATATAGTATTTTTTTTAATGCATTCTGGTTTCACTTAGTTACGCCAATGGTGATAAAGCTATTCCACCCTTGCTGACCATACAATTTCCTCTCCATTGCTTTATATAGAAATAAAATTTACAAATTCGACGAGTGAGATATGTTAAAGTTTCATTAAAATAATTGATGACATTATTAAAAAACACTGATTCATTGGGTGTTAATTACTAAAACTCCTCATATTTGATCATTCCTTTGAATGAGATTTTGATATGATTCTCGATATGATTTTTAATGTAGCTTCTTTCGAATTAAAGAATGCAATACGAATATAACAATATAATTAGAATGGAGAATTAACTCTCGAACGATAAAGTAAAGCCAAAAATGACCACAAAATGTATAAAACGATTATCAGATACTATTAGATATGATTATAATTGTAATGATTGTAATTGTTTTCAATATCAAATTTTTGAAAGTTTTAAATTTACAGTTCTGGAGATCATGCAATTTATAAATTTGAAAATTATGAAACTTGGAAATTTAAAAATTTTAAATTTTTGAAATAAACTCTGATATTAAAAAATAAGTATTTTACAATTTAAAAAATGTAAATAAAAAAGAATTTGCAATTAAATATCAACTGATAATATTTTTATTGATACCTTGTTCGAAAGTTATTCACCGTTTTACTGAAATAAAAATAAATCTAACAAATTGGGAATATTTTTTTATGCCCATTGGACGCCTCCTACTCTAACTTTATATCTCACGATAATTGCAATTTGCTAAGCGATAATAGTGACTGAAGTCTAATTTAAATGTTACATTATCATTAAGTTCTGCCAGATGTTATCTTTTTTACGAATGTATACTGCAAATGCTAGAATGACTTGTTACATGGTAAGTATGTAGTCTTTGCATATATGATACATCTCATGAATGGTTTAAAATTCACGATTTCGTTTAGGAAACGTTATTTAGTAGAAACGTTTTTGTATCGCAATAATTTTTCATTTGTAATATTATATATACGTATACGTTTCTCTGTTTACTCTTAGCACATAAAATTTATTGTCATATTTTAATATAATTTAATTTCCAATAATCTCTTTTCATTATTACTCTGTTTGATAGAGATCTTCGACATGGTACAAGCACCATGGAGAATAAATTGAATTAGACTATATAATTCAATAACTGAGATGTATCTATATCTGTATAGGCTAAGAAACTGCAAGCTCAACTTGAAAATACGAATTTCGTATTCTCGTTTAGATACAACTTCCAGTGTCTTATTTAATTTTATTTTAATTCTTTTCACCTGTTTCTTTTCATATTATTATATATTATCTATTTACTGAAAAACGTTTAAAGCACCAACGCTTTAGACTTACCTTCTCAGTTAATATTGACATGCTTATACATTGTCAAGTGATTCAGAGACTTGAAACACAGCAGAGAGATACGTCTAGAAATAGAGAAAAGAACATTTGTCCTTTAATCGTTATGTTAATATTTCCAAATTTATCCGTACTTCGCTTCTTTTCCAATCTAAACATATTCTATATCTTTATTTATGAAACATTGTCTATGAAAAAGGTCGATAAATTTTCGACTGAATTATACAAATGCCATATTTAGAATAATTGACACGGTACCTTCTTATAATACATCAAATAGAAAGAAAAGAGATAGCATCAAGTACTGATGTTAAACCAAAGTGAAGAATGAAACTTGAAGACTTGAGTACGTTTCAATTAATAATTAATGTTTGCAACTCATTTGATATCTCATAGAAAAGTGCTGTTTTTCGGTCTATAAACCACTTAAACACATGTTAATCCAACATGTACGAGGATAACCATTCCTAGGTGAGATCCTCATCGTCGTCACTGGGTCCACCAGTTGGACAACAAAGACCTTCTGACCCATCACTTCTTATACAGAATAATAAAGTTTCGGCTGGTGTAACTTCATGTGGTACAATCCCATGGAATTCTTTTAAATCAGCTGCTGGGAACCAGGCTTTTTCGTTATCCTCAATTATGAGTATCCCAAAAAGTCTGAATTAAGGAATAAAGTATTTACATATGAATTCTTGACATGAACTCTTCTATTATGAAACCCCTTATTTCTTTCATTTTTTTAAAGAAAGAGGTCTCATAGGTAATATTAAATGGATTAGTTATCATAATCAACATATTATGAAACTACAAAATGTGATATTGTTTCTATACGAAGGTCTTTTACCTGCAAATAGCAACTGTAGGAATCCAAAGAACTGATGCAAGAATAAGAATACCGATGAGAACTAAAGCCCACACTGGCCATTCATGTTTCTCCGTGATACCTTTGCTGGCAACCCATGCTGGATACCCACTTCCATCAACAAGGATTTCCACGATGGAGGCAATCAAAATACTCAACATTGCTAACGGACTGAGGTATTTCCAACAGATTAGCCAATAAAGGCCTGGACGGTTGCCAGTCATCAGTTCGATATCATCAGCAAATCTGGGAAGATAATTGTGGTAATTCGAATGATTTTATACATACTGCTTAATCGCTTAATCACCATGTGCATTTATAATAATATCTCTGCATACCTCTTCAGGCCATAGACGTATGACACTGCGATGCATTCGAAGAAGGCGATAATCAGCAGAGGAAAGTTTCCACTGAAATTGTCGAACAGTACAAAAACATAGCTACCAGCACCATGGGCGAATGCCATTGAAATCACGCAACAAACCAAACAAATACCACCTATTTTGTAAACGAAATGAAACTGTAAAGTGAATTTAATTGAGTGAAGCTCCATCATATGGAATCACAGTCTTACCGACCTGTAAGAATTTCTTTTCGAAGATTGGGAAATAATTTCATGTCTACGATACTCGTGACTACTCCTTCGAGAGTACCAAACTGAGAATCAATGCCCAATGTGAACAACATCAGGAAGAATAACACGGACCAGAACTGAGCTCCCGGAAATTGATTGATTGCTTCAGTAAAAATGATAAATGCCAAGCCTGTACCTGATGCTGACTGTAAAGTTAAAAAAAATTTAATTAATAAGTACTTTGTAAATTTGTGGACATTTGTAAATTTATAAATTTAAAAATTCAGTAATTTAGAAGCTTAAAAATTTAGAAATTTAGAATTTAACAAATTGGAAATAGAGTTTATAATTCAGCTGGACAATTCAAAATCAGTTCTGTAGAGATAATTATATTTACAAACTCACGTTATCTAATTCTTTCTGAAGATCACATTCAGGTAATTCTGGCATGAATAAATTGTCTAACGTTCCATTTCCTGTTGTAATATTTATGAGTGATCCAGTATCAGGTATTTCACTTGGGATTTTATCTACTTGACCATAAATGTTCATAAGAGTGGCATTTCTGTCCGATAAACAACGTTCGTAAACCATGGTCGCTTTGAAACCTAAAAATGATGTATAAAGGCATAATGCCTTTTTCCAATGTTTTAGATGTAAAAAGGAACATTGTAATCACCGATAATGGAGAACACGACAATTCCAGCAAACATCGAAGTGAAACAATTTGTCAAGCTGACCATAATGGCGTCTCGGTAGCAGTTGTTGTTAACAGGATTGTAAGATGAAAATGCAATTAGGCCACCAAACGCCAAACCGAGAGAAAAAAATATCTGCGTTCCCGCTTCTAACCAGACCACAGGATCGGTTAATTTCCACCACTAAATAAATGAAATTATTATTATAAACCTTGTTTGAAGAAGTTAGCTCAGGAGTTATTGGATACCTTTGGAGTAAAAAGATGGCGTAGACCGTCGGACATGCCCTTCAAAGTGACACCACGGAAGAAGAAAATAATTAGAACGATGTATGGAAATGTGGCAGTCACGTACACAACCTATAAAGAACATTTTAATTTGAAGTTGCTTGAAAAACAGTACAAATTTGTGTGACATAATCCAAATTTAATCTTATACGTTAGAGGACACGTTATCAGTATACGAGAATTCGAAATTTTATTGATACTTTTGCAATTTTTGTTTATAAATTGTTACTCTGTTGAGTCGATCAAACTTATTTTATTTGTTAAATCATTTTTGTTTAACGTTGCTTGTTATTGAAGATTCTTGTTCACGCGTAAACTAAGATTTTTTATAAATTAAACATTATAAATCTATTGCATATAAAGCACAGATTAATAGTAATGATGCGTTTTATTTGAATAATTCATCAGAAATCTTAGTTTACGGTAATTAAACTAAAGCATCACTGAAATCCGATTACTGGAATCCGCTATTCGACTTCTCGCATACCTCTAATAATCAGCATCGGACTTTAAAGGAATACCTTCCCTGAAGACGCGATACCCTTGATCATGCACATATAAACGAGAATCCATGCGATCACTAATGCCAGAGCGATCTTCCAATTAAATAATTCCGGGGTATTAATGTCATCGGAGATCATCAACGTCGTTCGATACCAGAAGTACTGTGTAGGACTGCTGACCTGAGAAATAAGCACTGTTTATAGCTCAATTTCGATTAATATTGCAACATCAGTTTGACCGTACCACACATTCTGGTTCGGGTGCGTAGGATCCATTTTGAAAATAAACGTTGGGACACTCTGCCCACGGTAACTGTGATTGGAAACTCTGAAAACGTAATATGTTAATACTATTAAAATTAGTTTTGAACAAATTAAAAAAATGTGGACAGTAACTTACTTGAACAAAGTAAAAGAGGCACCAAGCGATAATAGTGTTGTAATAAAGAGCTACGTTGAAGGAAACTACGGCGCTGCTTATACCGATACCACCCATATATGGAGAGACCTTTCAGAAGAATAATATATCCTTTGTAGAAGCGTTCGTGAGTTTGTTTTGACAGATTCTGGATACATTGTACACTCACCTGATTCCACACACCGATAGCACCCTTTCGTAATCTCTGGCCAATCGCCAATTCTAGATAGAATATAGGTATACCTTCGATTGCCAGCATTACGAAGTACGGGATTAAAAATGCACCTGTTTTGAAAAATAAATATGTATTATACTTTAGTTAATACATTATTATTTGATATGTTAAATCAAGATGTAAAAATGTTTTATTATTAAAATGTTAAAATGTTTTGTTATTGAAATGTTAAAATGTAAAAATGTTTTATTATTGAAATGTTATAATGTAAAAATGTTTTATTATTGAAATGTTAAAATGTAAAAATGTTAAAATGTTTTATTATTGAAATGTTAAAATGTTAAAATGTTTTGTTATTGAAATGTTAAAATGTTTTATTATTGAAATGTTAAAATGTAGAAATGTAAAAATATTTTATTATTAAAATTGATGTACTTTTTCATGAAGTTTTCAATGTATTCATTCTTATGAGTAATAGTTTTTAATAGAGGTTGCTATCAGTTACTGAACTGTGTGCTTGTCAAGAGAATTAATTAAATTTTCTATTCTATATATTGTAATTTTGGAATATATTTAATATTGGAATAATATTGGAAAAGTAGAGAGATTTTTAAAAATAGGTACTCTTCGGCGAGAATGAGTTATAAAAGGAAGTAGAAGAGGAACTAGAAGAGGAGTTAAAAGGAGAGCTAGAAAAGGAGAACGTATTCAACAGGAGAGAGCGTAAGTGGAGGAGGCGAAAGATGAAACCGCGGGATTTGAACTACCACAGAACAAATTGTCACGCTCGACCAAAACCTCAATCGACAACCTTCCTTTACGATCGAATAAGCCAATTATGAGCGATTTTGACGAGTCAATCCTACAATTGCCGAAGAAGTCACGCACCCCATAACAAACACCATCTTCTGCGAATAATTCCACGTCGATCACTATGATTTATGAAGTTATACGGAAAGAGAATTTAAGATTTTCTGATACTCATGGAGAAGATCCGAAGAGTTTTTAACGCTCGAGTGTCGTGCTTTTGTTTTGTTATCGATATTAATCTTGAGATGCTTTCCCTTATTTTTATTGGGAATAGCATTGCAATGGTTTCATCTCTATGAATGGCGATCGTCGTCAAATTTTAAAAGAGCGTGGAGAACTAGGTATTCAAACATCAACTTGAAATTCTTCCTACGTAAACAGATCATGAAGCGTACTCAGAGCGAACAGGAAAGCGTCACATTTAACATGCATCCGTGCATTCGCCCGCTTAGAACCCCCTTGGTGTCAAGAAGAGCAATTGGAGTATGCTCATCGCAACATGCTATCGCGTTTGCAATTAGCTGTTTGCCGCGAAGAGATTTCAGAACGCTTGAACGATTAGTCCGGGGTGCAGAATGTTGCGTGTCTACATGTATCGCGCGACTCCGCCAGAACAATCGCTGTGCATTTAGCGTACGGAGCACATCACAATGTTTCGCGATTGAATCCCATTTTTGGGACTCCTGCGTTCACATCGAGAAAGCATAATACTGAAGACGTTGCTAATATTCCATTGACAACTTAAAGATGGGCCAAGGAAGTGCTGAAAGGATCCGAAGGCTCCTTTGGTGATATGAGGAGTTAGAAGAGGAGAGATCGCGAAGTGGGAGGATTACGGAGAGTCCGCGAGTCGGTAGCAGGGTATTAATAGATTAGATGATATTTATATTAAATCAATCAGTGGTTTCAGAACTATGGAAACCTTGGTGAACCTTCTGAAATATTTTGTAAGACTACAAAGGGAAAATATCAAGATCCATTGAGTGGGTAACTAGTGTTACCCTAAAGAAATAAGGAAAGAGGATGAGGAGGACTGACTTCCGCTACCGTCCATAAGTATCCGGACACAAGCGAAATATGCATTCGCGTTGCATGAAAGTTATTCAAGTATCTGCAACAGTAACTAAAATCGATTTTTTTTTCTGCGAAGGTCAGAATACTGGAACGTTTTTCCATTGATAATTCTCGTTTGGAACTCATATCTCGATGGAAAAGAAGCTACAGACGAACTAAACCGAAACTGTCGAGTGCGTAGCGTTACCTCCATTCTTATCTCCATTGAGGGAACCAAAACATCTACCAACAGTTTACAAACACTTGAAACATATCGAAGAACCCTCTGAATACGTTCTGCACCATAGAAATGAAACACAGTAGAAATTAAAATTTTTTTTAGAATCGAAAACGTTTCATTAGATTCACAAATTTGGACTTTGTACTTCTGGACATGAATTTTACTTTCACACTTGCATTGTATAATTTGTATTTAAAAATTAATTCTATTACGTTATGACACCTCAAAAAAGATAATAATAATTATTACAAATGATGTGATAACCCTAAATACCTTTCGTACAAAGTTCAACTATGTTTTATGTAACGAAACCAAGTGTCCAGATACTTATGGACGGTAGTGTATATTTCCATAAACGTAGTATTAAAGCGTTCCATAAACCTAGTATTAAATAAGAAGCGTAAAATACTGACTCTAAAGGTTCCTATACAACTCGTAAATTACTATGTTATTCAAAGAGTCGTTAAAAATTCTCTAAACATAAGCAAACGCACCTCCACCATTTTTTTGAGCGAGATACGGAAATCTCCATACGTTCCCAAGTCCAACAGCGTATCCAACGGTTGCTAGTAGAAAAGTAAGCTTACTGTCCCAATTTTCCCGTTCGTCCTCTCCAGCTTCCGGCCGAAAAATTGCTTTTCCTTCATTACTTCCGAGCTTACTGCCCCCGCCCCCATTTCCCGTTTTGTTCTGCAATGACAGGAAACATATAACATCGATTTGTTTCAATTATAGCGGGAGACACCTCGAGAAATTCACTCATTAATAATAGATAAATACAAACTCAAATACATTTATATTTGCCTGTTATTCGAAGAATGGAAAAGACACTGTAAATGAAATTAGATAAATTTCTGTTTATTAAAATATAATTAAAAGAAAAAAAAATGAAATAGCTTATAAAACCTATCGATAGTTGTAATAACAATCTCATTGATATTTTCTGATTTTGACGTTTGTATTAATATTTACAAATTTGTTTTGAAAGATATAAGATATGTCTTGAAAAATATGAGATATGTCTCGAAAAATAGCACTTGCAGCTTTTTCATTTCCATTGTTTCTATAAAGTATAAAACTACCATTCTGAATGTTTCATAAATTATGAAAGCTGTTGAAGAAATTATAAAATAGGCGTGGGAAGTATGAAAGGGTGAAAAGTTTCTTCGTAGGTGGAGACTTTTTCGCTTCCATAGTATTAGTTTCAGGGTTGTAGCCTTTATCGACGTCGTTTCAAAAGTTTAATAAAACACTAATTTTTAATGCACGATGCTTACCTTTGTGTTAGGACTGGAGTCCTCAAAGGCTGCGTTCGTGGCCCCATAATTGGCAGTGGTGATGTTCTTTCTATTGTCCACCACTAATCTCCCTCTCATTTCTTTCATTTCGAGCTTATCAACGCTTTTTTGGGGCTTTAAGTCGCGAGAGCTTTGCCGACGGACGAGATGAGCCGTGTTCGCCATTCTTCCTTTTTATTTTGCGACCACGGTTTTTTCTTTGCAAAGATCAAACAGAAATACCACGCGCGCCTGTGGACTCCATCCTGTCTGCATAAAAGAGCTATTATAATTATCGTGTGCCATGATTACTCAAAAATGTGTTACAGAAAAGAGACATAAAAATATTCGTAGATGCTTGAAATGAAACAAAGTTCAGGAGGTTGAAGCTCAACGCGTAATTAAATATAATACTCGTATTTATCCGATATTAAACACGATCGTTATTAATGTTTCGATTTTATGTACTTCTATGAAGTTTCAAGTGTATTTCTGTTTCGGAATAATTAAATTCGAACGAGTTGTTCAAACAATAATTCCAATCGTATTAAATGCGGTGCATAATTAACGACGCAGAAGGTAAAAAACATTTTGTAATTTTTACATTTCATCAAATTTTTATAGGAATATGTTTAAGATGGATTTTAGAAGAAACTGTTAGACGTTTCTAATTTTTATTATTGAACGAAAGGTTCAAGGTATTGTTGTCATTTAAGGTTACGCGTACCCTCCCCATTTTCACGCGTTTCAAGATTTTTCGAAGATTTTAAATTCTTTATGACAGTCTTCACATTCCAAGTAAAATTTTATAGTAATGAGTCCTAAAGCACTTGCTTTAAATTGCCTTGATAAACATTAATGAGTCAATTCGACAAATACAACAGAGAAAGGCAAAAGTCACATGAAAGTGAAAGAAAAAATATTTTAAAAATAGCAAGATGAATAATTAAAATGAAATGTTTATGTCAATTCTTATTCCAAGTGACTTGTACGATAACAAAAATTGTATAAGGAAGGCTATCACAATTATGTAACAGATAAACGAAGTAAACAATAATAGTGCACCTTTCTTTATGGAAAACATTGTTAAACTTTCTTTATAAATACGGTTCTGAAAACACCGTTGCTACATCGTGTTTTTCATCGATACGAGTCACTCAGGAGGGAGAGATATTTGCCTTTCAGCTTTACTACGACCCTGACCTCCTACGCGAGAGATCTTGAGAGTAAATTACGAATTACTAAACATAAGTGAAACTCTTACAGTAAATTTTTTACTTTCACGAGATATTCACTGGCTATTACAACGTTTTCTGAACCTCAAAAGATGGATCAAATCAATGATTATTTCAAAAAAAGATGAATTAAATTTGTTGAAATGTTGACTCCGTTTATATTCAATCTGTTAAGCTATCGTTAATCAGCGAGATGTTCAATAACACATCGAGCGGTAATTCGACACGCGTAACATGTACTATAACTATTGTTCCCATTGACGTCACGAGCGCACCGATCAAATTCATCCCACATTGTACGTGCACCGTTTTTTGGGTATTAAAAATTCTATTTTTACCGTCGATAGAAATTTAGAGCCGTTCCGAAGGTCCGGAAGATTGAAAAATCGGTTAGTACCGTTTTCACAAAACGATTTTACAGAAGATGCGATATGCACGAATTTTGCGATTAAAATTAACGAAATGATTAGATAATTTTTTAGTCACGAAAAATCGTAACAAGTTCGCCACTGACCTGTTGGGGTGAGATAAAGAAAAGCGCTAGGGCCTCCTGATGGTACGAGGAGCAGTTAGCTACTGTGGCACCCTCTACTAGGATGGTAACTTTTGAAATCACGATATCCAACGGAATCAATAGCGAGCGCCGGCGCCCCAATGCCTCACTGTCCTACAGACCGGAATATACGCGAACCCTTTTTGTTAGGAGATTGGTCGATTATCGGCGAACCGATCGCAACAACCTAGTCAACAACCAATACTAATGATGTACACTCGGATGCGACGCTGGCTTCCTTTGATGTGGGCTTCCTTGATAAATTTCTGAATTTTCGAATCGATGCATAGCTACGTTCTTATGTGGTTGAATATTTGGAATTTTTACACTCTTTACATTCGCGAATTTGCGAATGATGGTACTTTTTTGTTTTGCGTATTTAGAATTTATTGAATTTTTCGATTTTTGGATTTTTAGGTTTGTAGACTTTTAGATTTTTAAGTTTGTAGATTTTTAGATTTTTAAGTTTGTAGATTTTTAGATTTTTAAGTTTGTAGATTTTTAGATTTTTAAGTTTGTAGATTTTTAGATTTTTAAGTTTGTAGATTAGATTTTTAAGTTTGTAGATAGATTTTTAAGTTTGTAGATTTTTAGATTTTTAAGTTTGTAGATTTCTAGATTTTTAGATTTTTATCTAAATCTGTAGGTTCTAATATTTCTAAATTTTCCAAATTTTACTTCAACATATTCCTAGATTTCTAATTTTTCAGATATCCATATTTTCAAATTTCCAAATTTTCAAATTCCCAAATTTCCAAATTCCCAAATTTCTAAATTTCTAAATTTCTAAATTTCTAAATTTCTAAATTTCTAAATTTCCAAATTCCCAAGTTCCCAAATTCCAAATTCCCATATTCCCTAAATTTTTTAATCTCAAAGCCCCCAAAGTCCTAACTCTGCAAATTCTACAATCCCTAGATTCCAATCTCCAAATCTCTATATCTCAAAATTCCTAAATCCCTAGATTTCCAAATTTCCACATTACCAAGCATCAATATCATAGATTTCTAAATTTTAAAGTCTCCAAATCCCTAGATGTCCAAATGTCCAAATTCTCAACTCCTAAAATCCCTAGATTTTTAAATCTCCAAATCTTCCAAACCTCAAACTCCCCAAATCCCTAAATTTCCAAACTTCCAAATCCCCCAATGCCTAAAATTCCTAGATTCCCAAATTTTTCCCAAGTTTGCAAAAGCGACCCTCCTATTGTTAAGAATTTTCCAAAAAATGAAATTAATGATGTGAGTGCAAGTTAACCTCTTCCAAAATTTTCCCTAGATCCATAAATTCGCTCTTGAATTTACTCTGTCTATGTACCGGTGTTTCACCAGCGATCAAGCGACGAAATGTATGAAGACCGTAACTGACAGGATAACTGATGCATCGATCATCGAATTTGAAATGAAATTAAATAATTGCTGTGAAAAGAGGCTGATGTCTAGACACGTTGTTATCACGGTCCATTAACCTGTCCATCTTCATAAATATTTACAATAAACATTTGCAACGAGATAAACAATGATGAGTCAATGAACTTGCACTTTCCACGTATTTCAAAATTTGAATAAATTAATTTTTGTATAAAATTACATAAAATTTTACATGAAAGGGTGTAGTAGGATAAGGTAGTCAAATGTGCTCTTGAGTCAAATGAAAAACTCATCAGTCGGTAGTATAACCAAAAAACATACTCTGGTTTCCCTTTAAATCATTAAATCTTTAAATCTTCTAATAAATAAATATATCTTTAATAAATAAATAAATATATCTTTTAATAAATAAGTAAATATATCTTTTAATAAATAAATAAATAAATCTTTCGCCATTTGCTAAAGATTTCCGTGGAGGGGAACAACTGATTAGTCTATAGAGTAAAACATCTCACAGCAAGTTTCAACCCCTTATCTCATCCGAGGGGGTAGTAAAAGGAAAAAAAACGAAATTCCGGTTTTTGACCTATTTTGCGTATTTAACGCTAGAACTAGTAACCAGTGAAAATGACTGGTTTCAGATTTCTCTTTTTATATTGCAAAATTTTATTGTCGTGATTTTATGGAAATGTCTGTCATATTTTGTTGAGGTAAAAACTAGTTCTATATGTTACTTGCTGCTTTAGTATTTATTTATTTCCCTTTTCATTTTATTTTTCATTCTTCGATAAACGAGCATTTAATTCCAGTAGTTCTAGTGTTAATTTCGTAAAAAAATTCTATAATATGCGCTACGTGGACCTCAATGTCTTAAAATTTGTTCAGAATTATTTTACGAAATTAAATAAGCAAAAACCGAAATTTCGTTTTTTGCCTTTTACTACCCCTAATAAGGATAAGATAGGGGGTTGAAACTTGATGTCTTTTTTTGGATATGCTACCAACTAACGTATTGGGTTTTCATTTGTCTCAAAGATACATTTGACTACCTTATCCGTTAGACCCTTTATTATCCCTTTGCGCTCGAGAGGCGCCATTCGATTTAATACAATAATTTAAAAGAAGCATTATTTAATTAATTCTATAATAATGCTTATGTGATGTATAAATATGGTAAAATAGACAATAGTGGAAATTATTAGTAGAGAAATAATAACTTCAAAAGAAGTCATTTAACATTTTAATTAATATTTTAAAGTTGCTGTTTGCAAACAGTAAAATTATCTTCGAGTGCAAAGGGTTATCATTTAGTAGGTTAACCCCTTGCCGTACTTTGACGAATCTCACTCGTGACGCATTTAGAAATCAAATGAGACAAATCTTCCTAAAATTTTTAACACTCTTCAACTTGAAATTTACATTCAACAATAATTTGCATAATTAAGAATCGCTGAATATAATATGCTCACATTTTAATTTTCTTTATTTGTTTTAACATTATAGCTAAGAATAAGTTAGTTTTGACTGACGCATCTGATAAATAAATTGTACGGCAAGAGGTTAATAATGTAACTATGTAATTTAGTAGGTTAATAATGTAACTATGTAATTTACTAGGTTAATAATGTAACTATGTAATTTACTAGGTTAATAATGTAACTATGTAATTCAGTAGGTTCGATGTATTCAGATTTTATCTGCATACGTAATTATATTGAAGATTCTTCTGCAAGATTAAGTAGAAGCATTTGACCTTTGCGAAAACTAAATCGATAACTAGCACGTGTATGGAAAAATTTCGATCGTGACACGCGTAATGGGAGAAAGAATTTTAATTAACGAAAAAGCGAAGTTAAGTAACGAAGAACTTTTTCTATTGATATTAGTTTTATCGTGCGAAGTTGCTGTTCGGTAAACGGTTGTTTCCTTCAATTATAGACTATTCACGTTACGGATCAGTAAGAGGAAGGGAACTAACCAGTGACAGTAATGCAATAATCGGTAATATTGTTTCGTGCACACGTTCGTTTCAATTAAACGATGTACGTTGCTGTCGGGCTACGATTAAATTCTTATGATCGTAATATGAATACATTTTTTTTGTAAATAATTTGAAATATAAAGATTTGTATTATATGTAAAATTTTACGTAAATTCATTTTTCCAGTGTTATTTAAGAAAAACATTGTGAACACTTTTATAAGAATTTATAAATTCACTTCAGGACGTTTTGATGTAATTTTTTTTTAATTTTAGTATAGTTATTAAATATAATTTTTTTATGTCCCAAAAAAGACTGCAGCTCTCTTTTGAGCTTTCATTAATAATTTCTTGATAATTTTCTAGTAAATTTATTCTATATTTTACAGAAGGGTTGCACTATAAATTAGCTTCGTTCAAAAATTTGCAAGAATCTTGAATTTCAAGGTTTATCAAAGAACTAATTGAAATTTTCATTCAATAAGATTAGTCTGGAATCCTCAATTATAATAAATTGTACAAAAATCTTTTTACTGCCGTCACTCGGAAAGAAAGCATTCGTTGTTTCAGTAGAAAATCCCGCTTTTAGTCAGACAAGTAGAACACGTCAGCGTACTCGACAGCCTTCGCTTGTAGCACATACCTCACGTGGATTATTATTCGTAATTGTATTTATAACTGTGTCGGGCATTCTTCAAGAAATATATTAAAAAAATGATTACTTGGGAAATGCTTCTGCTTTAATATTTATTTAAAGGACATTGTCTTTATTCGAAACAATAGCAAAATATATTATTTTGAATATAAAATTAATATTTTTTTAGATTGCTTTGTTGTTTGATTTTGAAATTAAGTCATTTTTTATTTTGTATTTAAATCATTTTTCCAATATCTTCGAATATTTTTATACCAACTAATAATTTAATATTTATACTGTTAATAATTGCATTAGATATACGGGAATGAGTGCTATAATAAAATCATTTAAATAATAGGAAGTTAAAAATTCATTGAATTATTTATATTATATTATTATTACTTATATTTGTATTTTATTTTTAAATGATTTAAATAACTCAAATAATAAATTATTTGAATACCATACAAAAGATACTTTTCCTGTACTTTTTAAAATAAAAATAATAAATTGTTTGAAATTACTTTACATTATTTTTATTTTATACCAAATAAAATTCAGGTATAATTTATTGTATATGAATTAGTATATTAAACATTTTTTGATCGTTAATATTAATAAATACAATAGAAATATTTGTATACAAAATTTCATTGTACAATGCTTTTTTTATAAATTGATATACAAATTCGATAAAAGTTCAGCGAGTATTTTCTTTTGCTAAGAATTGCGTGAAACCAAGTATTCCTGAAACAAATAATCAAAATTAGTCATAAAAATTATTAATTATAAATAAATACTTACTATCTATGCGTGCTCTTTTGTGTCTGTCCTCAACGAAAGATTTACTCAAATTTTCAATCGTTTCTTCGTTTTTGTAATCGAACTCTTTAACACTTTGATTAATCGAAAGGTATCTATAATTTTTGTAAGTTCAAATGAGAGAATGAGAACTGTATGACGTATCTGTGATTAAAGGATACATTTCGTGATAGTAATTAAAAGCGTCAACACCCCATTCTAAGAGTAAATTTAATCTCGGCCTGTAGGGCGTTCCATTAATTAATTGCTGCATTGTTTCTTCGTCCGGTGAAACTTTACTTCGAGCACTTTCTAAATTCCTCAATCGATTTTTAAGATCCTAAAATAATATTTCAATTAGTTATAATCGTAACAAAATATTAAACATTTAAAATTTTGTAAACATCTTTTAAACATTTTATTTAATAATATAAAATAATAGATATTATTATAAAAATAAAATTATAGATGTTATGAATATTGTATTTTAATAATATTATTAAATTTAATAGCTTAAGAACTTAATTAAATTTCATATTATTATTAGAATATTATATTCGTTATATAATAATTATAATTATAATTTAAAATTTAATAACAATATTTAATTAATAATATATTGTATAATATTATTTCATATAAAATTACAGATGTTATGAATATAATATCTTATACAAAAATATAGAAATTATAAATACTATACATATTGTTTTACATATAAAGTGTCTCGTAACTAGTGTTACTCGTTACTTGAAAGGGGTGGTAGAGGACGTCATTTTGAACAAGATTTTCCTTTGAAAAAATGGGATTTGAAGTTTTGTTTTTGAATTATTAAAGAAAAACACGGACCAATCAGAGTGCGAGGATTACGCGTACCTAGAAGCGAAAACGAAAGGTTCGAGCCTAGCAATTGAGCGTAATCATGATCAAGTTCCTATGCGCCGAGACAGTGTACACGTTTAATTAGAAGCCCTTACGTCAAATCTCAGTTAAGTAATGGACAGCACAGTTACATATAATGTTCACTTATTTGTTTGTCCTAAGTAAGGAACATAATTAGTTGTGTGTAATGAACAGACGTCGAATAAATGAAATTACTGTAACTTTAAATTTACATAGAACTTGTAAACCATTAAAATAAGACTCATCAATTGTTTAAAAATAATCCTGTGCAAATAAAAATGACTCCTCGTAACTAGATCGTTTCATCGATCATAACTACAACGCTGGCCAAAATTAACGCACCAATTTCTTTAGCCGTTTCTTTCTTTACGTTCTGTTGGAGGTAGGACTTTGAAATTTTGAGGACAGTTGGGCCCAGGGGTTATCTCAATGCTCCAGGAGTGCCATTGTTGCCTGCCACCCCCTTGCGGTATCGGCGATCCCTTGAATGCTAGAGGGTCGAAAAACCAAAAAAAAAGGCTCTAAATTCTACAGAAAAAAAGAAAAAATCCGAAATTTTTTTACAGAATGAAGTTCTTTAGATTGCGGCCTTTCCGAAAATGCTCGGCTCAACCGCCTGCGACACCCCCAACCCCTTCCCAAAGGAGCGGTTTTTTCGATTTTGCTCAAACTTTTACCGAAGCTTCCTCTCGACCCCAGTTATACCTGGTAAAAGTTTGGTCGCGCTTGCACCAACCCCTTGGTCGCTACACGCTGTCAAAAAACCACCCCTTGTTGTTTTTTCATTTTTTTCACAGTTAAAAGTCAATTTTGGATCTGCAGTTCACGAAAAAACTTGTTTCCATGCTAACGGTATCGTTCCTGTTGATGGTTTGGGCCTGGTGTGAAACCAACCCTGGGTCGAAAATCTCAAAATTTCCACTTTTTTGCATATCGCGCGAGAACGGTTCGAGTAATCGACTTGAAAATTTGTACAGAAATGTTCCAATGATCCCTCAATCGATCGCATGCACCCAATTTACCCGCCCACCCCCGGGGGTGGATTAAGAGGGTTGGAAGTAGGAACCCCATCAGCGGGGTTGGTTTCACACCAGGCCCAAACCATCAACAGGAACGATACCGTTAGCATGAAAACAAGTTTTTTCGTGAACTGCAGATCCAAAATTGACTTTTAACTGTGAAAAAAATGAAAAAACAACAAGGGGTGGTTTTTTGACAGCGTGTAGCGACCAAGGGGTTGGTGCAAAGAGTGCGAGGATTACGCGCGCTCAGACGCGAGAGCGAGAGCTCCGAACCTTGCGGCTGAGCGCGCGTAATCCTCGTGCTCTGATTGGTCCGTGTTTTTCCTTAATAATTCAAAAATGAAACTTCAAATCCCATTTTTGCAAAGGAAAACTTTATTCAGAATTACGTCAGCTACCCCCTATTTCAAAGGCTTACACTAATTGTAAGACACCCTGTATATTTGTAAATATGAAACAATTAAAATATACTGTTTCATAATTACTTTAGTACTAATATTTACTTAAGAAAGAAATGTTTTAAAAAACTAGTAAATAATCATTTTATATACCTGATTAACATTATTGAAGCGTGTCAGAATATCCATAATCAGTTCAAGCTCGTTGTTAATTCCCATAAGGATTTTAAAAATCAATCTTTCTCGCACTTCGTCCATTTCACAGAGTTCTGCGTCATCGACCTCTTTGCTGTAACAGAACGACATCTGACGGTAGATCAACTTACTAAACATCGAAATTTACTGAACATCGAGTTTCTTCTCTAACAATCGTTCGTACTAAACACAGAAACCTGTCGTAGGTGAATAACACTCACAAAAAAGTGGAAAGTTGACGTTACCTTGTTATAAGTCGCAGTTGTTGTGATTGATTCTTTAAGGCTTGCAGAGGTCGTTCAGCTTCTTCGGACAGCTCTTTCCATTTGTAGTCGACTTTCTCCAGCTGCGAGAAATAATTAATCAAACATTTCTGCACTTCTTTTGCCATGTTTATTATAGGTTATTCCTGAATGAGTCGCGCGCCATGTGTTCCTGTGAGGAAACCAGAGTGCACTGGGTAATATAAATGTTATCGACACAGGAGAAATTATTTTTTGAAGTAAGTTGATGGAACGAACATTCATAAATGTGTATGGTTTCTGGTGCAATTGGAAAGAGAATCGACGTGAGGTTAGCTAAAAATATAGAACAAAATTTGTTCTTGTGCTTCACTTCCGGGAAAATTGAATTTAACATTTTTTGAGTGTTTGTGAAAAGCTTGTTTATAACGGGGAAAGTGACAGAGTTAAGTTATGTTAATTCTAATTAATTCAGCAAATATATGCGAATGAATGTAATAAATAATATTGCTAGTATATTAGTCATTGTCAATTATTATGTATATTATTTACGTATATTATTATCGACTGAAATTGTAATATACATACATTAATATCTACATAAATAATATTATGAATAATGGCCCATAATAAATTTTAGTGATCAGATTTGCTTAGTAATATACATTGATCGTTACGTTAATGAAAATCTAACTGCACCTGTCACTTTTCATGTTGTCTACTAATTTTTGTACAAATATTTCAAAAATTCAGTTTTCCGTATATTTTGCAAAATTTTTACAGAAATCGAAATTGCATTCGAACAAATTTTGTTGCAGATTTTGATATTATCTTTTTTCTGTAGTTTTTAACGTTTTTGGTTGTACCACAAGATCGATAAAACCATGTATTTGCAATTTTATAATAAAGCGATAATTATAGAAAAAAGCTTTTTGTCAGGATTTGTTGTGGAGATTGTCAAAGTGTAGAATATGAGTTAATTTTAGATGGATTGTGATGAACAATAAAATATGAAATATCTAAAAATAGTGTGACGATATTTTTTATTCAACTTCCTCTCCCTAGTCATCTTAAAATATGCATTGTAAACAACACTATGAAAAATATGTTGTTTTGACAGTGAAAGTTTGGTGTTTTGGAATTTTTTACTTTTTATCTTGAGACTTCAATATTGAATTGAACGAATTTTGGATTTGGGGAATTTAGGGATTTGGAAATTTCGGAATTGGGGAATTTAGGGATTTAGAAATTTGGGAATTGGGGAATTTAAGGATTTGGAAGTTTGGGAATTGGGGAATTTAGGGATTTGGAAATTTGAGAGTTGGGGAATTTAGGGATTTGGAAATTTGAGAGTTAGGAAACTTAGGGATGTGGAAATTTGAGAGTTGGGGAATTTAGGGATTTGGAAATTTGGAAATTGGGGAATTTAAGAATTTGGAAATTTGGGAATTGGGGAATTTAGGGATTTGGAAATTTGAGAGTTGGGGAATTTAGGGATTTGGAATTTTGAGAGTTGGGGAACTTAGGGATGTGGAAATTTGAGAGTTAGGGAACTTAGGGATTTGGAAATTTGAGAGTTGGGGAATTTAGGAATTTGGAAATTGGGCAACTGGGGAATTTAGGGATTTGGAAGTTTGGAAACTGGAGAATTTAGAGATTTTAAAATTTAAGTACTGGAAAATTTAGTTTAGTATTTAATGTGTTACTAATTTTTTTATTGTTAAAAATATTTTGAGACTGTAAAAAACAAGGTCTTTCTAAGACTGCAAAAGTCGCTAGCTGAAAATATAGTCTTAGAAAACTATCTTAAAAATATTTTACAAAATTCTTGTATCTTGTCAAACATAAATGAATCGTAAAATTTGCTATTAATAAAATTATTCAAAATACTTTTCGCCTCTTGTAACTATAACTTCTCATTTTACTTTTACATTACATCAAAAATTCGCAGTATTAAATAATTATTCTCTAGACAATTATTACAAAGAAAATACGTCTATTTCTTTATAATTGTCGTTTATGACAATCTAAATATTTCTTTATCTAAATTACAGGTATGAAAACAGATCCAAATAGCCTTCTATCGTTTCAATGTTTTCACTCACCGTACTTGAACTTTCATTTCAAGCAATAATTTCTAATGTCTCATTGCTTTTAAAAATATTTCAACATTTTTACTCATTGTCGGAAGTAATTTTACTTCTTGCGCGCTTTCTAGTACAAAAAATACGAGCCTCGTTATCTTGGAAATCAGGCTCGTTAATCTTCAACTAATATTTTTATTCAGTGCTTGTTATAATTATTGAAAAATTCATTAAGTGCTTCAATAATACATTTAACATTGTATATACATAGTATTAAACTACATGTTATCAGCAACGAATAAATTATTTCCGCCGGCTAATTATAAGATATCTCATACATTATTTAATGACTTGATATAGTTTATTTAATTAATAAAAATTTAGGTCATTTATGAGTATTATTTGCAGCTTACTGTTACTACAGTATACACCCAAAACAGACACTTTGATTGCAACACAAAATCGAAAATTTCATATAATTTTTTCGTTATTACAATATTGTTAGGATTAAGTTTGGAAAATTAACTACGCATAACTGTAACTGTAGTACGCGAAGATTGCGTTCGGACACGCAATGCGTACTTTATTTGTTTTGGCCGTTATTTCTAACAAATATAATTTGAAATTATAAATTATTGTTAAAATCATTATAAATTTAACAACAACTCATGAGCTGTAAATCAAGCTTGAATATAAATAATGTAAATAAAGCTTGATTATAAATCTTATCACTTCAAAATAGATTAAAGATGCAATTATTTTTTTTTTTAATTATTGTTAAAATCGTTATAAATTTAACAACTCATGAGTTGTATATCAAGCTTGAATGGAAATAATGTAAATAAAGCTTGATCATAAATCTTATCACTTCAAAATAGATCAAAGTCCCAATTATTTTTTTTTTAAATTGTTGTTAAAATCGTTATAAATTTAACAACTCATGAGTTGTATATCAAGCTTGAATATAAATAATGTAAATAAAATTTGATCATAAATCTTGTCACTTCAAAATAGACCAAAGCCTCAATTATTTTTTTTTAAATTATTATTGAAATCATTATCACTATAAATTTAACAATAACTCATGAGATGTAAATCAAGCTTGAATATAAATAATGTAAATAAAATTTGATCATAAATCTTATCACTTCAAAATAGATCAAAGATGCAATTATTTTTTTTTAAAATTATTATTGAAATCATTATCACTGTAAATTTAACAGTAACTCATGAGATGTAAATCAAGCTTGAATATAAATAATGTAAATAAAATGTGATCATAAATCTTGTCACTTCAAAGTAGATCAAATCTGCAATTATTTCTTTTTAGTTTATTTATATTTTAGAAAATACAGTGTAGCAAAAGGTTTAAACCTTACTATCAATGATAAGATAGCTCTATAAAAATATTATAAGTATGTCAGTAGAATAAAATGGTACAAGTATTCCTACGTTTTTTTATGTTGTAAACCAGAAATTCATAAAGTATCTTTTTCGGATCAGGAAATGATCAAAGAAAGTAGAACAGAAAAGTGTAACATTCTAGCGGACTACTTTGTAGATTAATAAAAAACGAGTTGATAAAAATAATATAACTAAATTATTTTCGATGTAGTTAAAAGATTTTCATTACCAATATGAAGAAATGAGATCAATGTTATATTGCAGATAAATTATGAAAAACTATTTTTGATGTAGTTAAAAAATTTTCATTTCCAATATGGAGAGATGAGATCAATGTTATACTCGAGATAAATTATGAAAAATTATTTTCGATGTAGTTAAAGAATTTTTATTTCCATGAAGAGATGAGATCATATACTCAAAAGGGAAAATATTTTGTAAAATGTATAAATAATGATAATTTAATAAAAGTAGTAAGACGAAAGATAATTTAATAAAAAAAGTAAGACAAGATAATTAAGTATATAGTAATAAATAGCATTATTCTGAAAAAACAGAAGAAAGATTATAATTGCGGAAGATAAGAAATTTTTTTAATATTTATTAATCATGAAATTTATTATTTATTTCTCTGATAAAATAAAAACATGTGGTATGTTACTTTACCTAGCACATTTACACAGAATCCAAAAAAAGAATTAATTCATTTAAAAACATTCCACAAAAGTTTGTATTCCTCGAGAGATTAGTAATGGGAATTCCGTCATTGTTCTGCATTACTCAATTGTACATGCATCAATAAATTTTGTAAATCAGTCACGTTTTATTAAAATGAAAGAGAGGGGGCACTGGACAGCGTATAGCCGTCCCTGGCACAATTACCGCTTCGCTTGCACAAGTAGGTTAGACGGAGATGACCGACTGTTGGGAATAGGAAATTTTGAAAATTAGTAATTTGAGAATTTGAGGAACTAAATATTTGAAAATTAGGAGTTTAGAAGCCTGGACAGGGAAGTTTTGAAAATTTAAGATATTTGGAATTATTGAAATTTAAAAGTTGAAGTGTTGCGAAATTTGAAAATGTAAGAATTTGGGAATTTGAGGATTTTGGAACTTGAGAATTTCAGAATTTAAAAATTTAGGGATGTGGAAATTTAAGTACTTGAAACTCTAGGAATTGGGAATTTAGTAATTAAGAAACCAGAGAATTAGAGAATTTGCAAATTTCAGAGTTTGGGAATCTATCAATATAAGAATTCGAGAATTGGAAAATTTCAGAGTTTACAAATTTAAGAATTCAGAAACTTGGAATTTGAGGACATTTAAAAATTCCGCTATTTAGACATTTTTAAATACCTTATTTATTAAATATCATATAATAATAGTAATTATAATAATATTGTATAATAATACCAATATAAGTAATAGTAATCATTACTAGTAGTAAGTAATAGTAATTTTACATAATACTATATTATTATACTCTGTTATAGTTATAAATTTTTCATACAAATATAAATAAATTTCGTAAATTAATCATATTTCACAAAATTTAAAAAGAAAGGGGCGTTAGAGCGTATATTCGTCCCTGACGCTTCCTCGTGCAGCTCCGCTCGCTCAGGGGGAGTTTGACGGAGACGCCCGAAGGAACTTTCGACAAGGCGGCATGTTGCGCACGCATCTGACAGTACCCCTTGCGCGCTCGGTAGGGTTCGGTAACGGTCGGAGTACGTTTGGCCGGTTCGTTTGGAGCGCGAGCACAGTAGACCGCCGACCGACAACCCCTTCGCGTGCGACGATGTTGCGTTGCGGCTGATCAAACCCCCTTTTTTTTCTTCGCGGTTTTTTTATCCTCTATCTCGTCTGGAAGGTTAACAGTGCACGAATCTCGAGATATTTCACCGAAAACGTTTCGCACTTGCCGACACGTTATTGACGTTTTGCAGTAAGCAGTGTGTGTCACGTCGGGCCGTGTTAAGTCACATTTCGTTTTTCCTTTACCCTCTTTCTCTCCCTCTATCCCTTTCCCTCCGTTGAAAAAATATGGCTGAAGTCAATGGAAAGTTGCGGAACAAACACGAGGACATTGATGCTGCGTCGCTCGGCACTGACATACTGAATCCCTTCGTGCATCGTCTCGAGCTCGACACAACCTATGACAAGCTCAAGGTTAGTAGCTCTCCGAATTTTCCTGCGTACGAAAATCATCCCGGGATCGATGCTCGCGCGGCTGAGTGTTTTTTAGCGTTGACCGAGGGCGGGGCGGGGAATTTGATCGCGACCGAAACATGCACGTCTTTTTTCTGTTAGACAACCACCATGCCTTGTGTGTAGAGTTCCTCGTAAAAATAGAACGTATTTTTACCCGTATGCTCTACCGATACTCGTGTCTACCGTTCCAGCGCTGGACTCTATTTCGTCAACATTTTCGGGAGGGCATCGCGGACAGTTACGTAAAATCGTGTCGCTGGTGCAACTCGAAGCATTTCAGTTGATTCGAGAAATTATTTGGGGTTACTTACAATGGCATATTTGTTTCTTTCGAGAAATATAGTTCGTAAGATTGGCGTTGATATTAACACTGGCGACCATGAATATGGAACATCCATATTGATGCATCACTGAATACATCGTTTTACGTAATATTTTCATTAATGTGCTCCTGATCAATTATTGAACATAAAAAAGTAATAGAAACAGGAAATATCGAAATTATATACTACTCGAAATGTTGAAAGTTTACTACGCAAAGATTGTCAGTGTGCTAGCATATTTTGCTTAGTATGAATGAAGTATTTACGTTTTATTTAAAATAACACAGACTCCGGTAGTTCGCTAAAACTCCGTAAGGGAAGTGATTGACTCTCGCGTCAAATCGATAACCGATGTATGCATAATTCGCATAGGTTGTAAAATGAGTTACATAAAAATAAGAATGAAATTATTGACAAAGAAAGTATTTATATTAACGGATGTGCAAGCGTCTACCACGTGGTTTGTGACTGATCAATTTCATCGATCTCGTTCGGTAGCCAACAACGTATCGATAGTTCGTGCTACTCGTGATATGCATTGACGTGACGATAACGCCGAAATATTCTTTTGCCCGACACGTGTGCTAATTAAGCCGTCTACGCTTCCGTTTCGCAGCTACGTGCGAGCGCATCACTTAAACACGCTCTGAAATGCACCTTTTGAAAGGAGATTTGAAAACGTGCCGACACACACGATTCCTTTATAATGCTGATCGCATTTATTCGTGATCACCATAGAGCTTGAGAATAACATACACTGTTTGAGATTCTTTGGACGCTGTTGTTTTATTTACGTTATTATCTATTTCTTTCTTTTTGAGGTGGCTATACCGCGAAATTCAAAAATTTTAATATGGGGGAATATTGTGAAGGAAGAATTACTTAAAATGGTTCTAATTGAACAGGTGTGTTTGGGGCAGTGGTAAATATGACAGATGAGGTTATTGTGTTAAAAATGGCGCCGAATAATATGGATACTAATTAATAATATAAGTAATGCGATATAATATAAACTTTAATATAATATACAAAGTCAGTAAAATATTACAACATAAAATAAGTAAACAATATAAATATTTTTTGTTATATTTTTTTATAATTAAAAATTTACCTGTTACCAAAGCAAATATGTATCTATATTTGTCTGATTTTAAATATAATTATCGTAGTTTTGGTTAACCTTGAAAGTTTACTAAAGTATTGTTTACATTCGGTCAAGTTTTAAAGAAATTTCATAATAAAGTGAGTTCGTAATATTACCATAATACTATTAAGATTTATTCGTGTTCGCATTACATTTCATATTTACACAAAGATTATGTATGAAGTTTTTGATAAAAGAAATTTGCAGAAAGCGTGAAATGTTAATTTCGCTATGTTGCAAATACGATAACGTGCTATTAAAATTACATATTTTGCTGGATATGAATGAATTGCAATATTGTAGTGAATATTTTGTTTTTTGTAATGTTTTGTTGTTACGCTATTATACAATATTGCAAATGCGTAGTAATATACATGCAATATATTTAAATAAGTTTTTGAAGTAGAAACTTTATATATAAGTAACATTTAATTATTAATGAATATTATACACATATTTTATAATAATTTTTTAAATGTTTTTTATAATGAAAATACGTATTTTTTTTTTAAATTAAACTGTTTAAATAGAAACAATTATTGCTACATTTTTATGATTGAAAGTGACATTCTTATTAATCTTTAAATTGAATAAATCACGCAGAGAAGGATTAATACGTTATCTATCTGCCGCAGCGACAATCAATGTACATAATATAGCACATTATCATGTAATCAATTACGTCAACTGAAATCTCTGATTTGACACTTTACATTATCAGTATAAAATTAATGACATCCATTCAGATCTTTTTATACTGCATATTTTTTCTCCTTTTAATTATTTGAATATATTAAATTGGTGTTGGTTACCAGTGACCGTCACAGTAATTAACGTGTTAAGGAACCCTCTTATGCTGGATATAAAAAAGTACGGAAATAAACAATTATTTATAGCAAACTGTGGATATGCAAAGCAATAAAAAGATAGAATTTTTAATAATTTCCCATAATTTATCTATTCTATCGAATGCAAATGAGACCATACACTCCTTGAAGTACTTATTAATCCAAATTTTGAAAACTTCAAAATTTATATTACAAAAATTAAAAATTTCAAAATCCGAGATCCAAAAATTCCAAAAATTCCAATTTTCGAAAATTCCAATTTCCGAAAATTCCAAATTCCGCAAATTCCAAATTCCGAAAATTCCAAATTCCGAAAATTCCAAATTCAAAAAATTCTAAATTCTGAAAATTCCAAATTCCGAAAATTTCAAATTCCAAAAGATCCGAATTCCAAAAAATCCGAATTCCAAAAATTCCGAATTCCAAAAATTCCGAATTCCAAAAATTCCGAATTCCAAAAATTCCGAATTCCAAAAATTCCGAATTCCAAAAATTCCGAATTCCAAAAATTCCGAATTCCAAAAATTCCGAATTCCAAAAATTCCGAATTCCAAAAATTCCGAATTCCAAAAATTCCGAATTCCAAAAATTCCGAATTCCAAAAATTCCGAATTCCAAAAATTCCGAATTCCAAAAATTCCGAATTCCAAAAATTCCGAATTCCAAAAATTCCGAATTCCAAAAATTCCGAATTCCAAAAATTCCGAATTCCAAAAATTCCGAATTCCAAAAATTCCGAATTCCAAAAATTCCGAATTCCAAAAATTCCGAATTCCAAAAATTCCGAATTCCAAAAATTCCGAATTCCAAAAATTCCGAATTCCAAAAATTCCGAATTCCAAAAATTCCGAATTCCAAAAATTCCGAATTCCAAAAATTCCGAATTCCAAAAATTCCGAATTCCAAAAATTCCGAATTCCAAAAATTCCGAATTCCAAAAATTCCGAATTCCAAAAATTCCGAATTCCAAAAATTCCGAATTCCAAAAATTCCGAATTCCAAAAATTCCGAATTCCAAAAATTCCGAATTCCAAAAATTCCGAATTCCAAAAATTCCGAATTCCAAAAATTCCGAATTCCAAAAATTCCGAATTCCAAAAATTCCAAATTCCAAAAATTCCAAATTCCAAAAATTCCAAATTCCAAAAATTCCAAATTCCAAATTCTAAATTTGAAATTCAAGAAGTCCCAATGTCAAATTTTCAAAATTCCAAATTTCGAATTCCAGAAATTTCAAATTTCCAGAACTCCAAATTCCACAATTCCATATTTCAAAAATTTCAAATTCCAAATTCAAAAAGTCTCAAATGTCAAATTTCCAAAATTCCAAATTTCGAATTCCAGAAATTTCAAATTTACAGAACTCCAAATTCCACAATTCCATATTTCAAAAATTCCAAATTCCAAATTCGAAAAGTCCCAAATGTCAAATGTCCAAAATTCCAAATTTCGAATTCCATAAATTTCAAATTTCTAAAATATCTTGTGATTGTTCCAAGTACCACAAGTTTCAAATTCCCAAATTTCAAATTTTTATATTAGAGAACCTCCAAAATCATCATATCACATTTTCACCAACTTATCTCTACTCTCTATGTACATACAATTAACACATGTTTCAAGTTATAAACAAAAATACATTCTTATTCTCTTTCGACTTCCACTATAACGATTACAAGAATATTAATTCAACATTCGTTGAACATTCGAACGTTATGATTATAAGAATGTTTATTCAACACGATTCCAACGAACTTATTCAACATAACTAACAACGAACGATTTACCATTCGTCATACACGTATCTCCTAAATGAGACAGTATTTTGAGCGTACAACATGTGTGTGACACGCGTGAATATTGCAACAATTCCAATGGCATTCACCATTCTAGGTACCGTTAAATCTGATGCTTACGCTACGCTGAATTACATGATGCATAAAGCGAAATGAATGGGCATATTTCTCCGGGCAAGAACGTTTGGTCATAATCTGATAATAAAAATAGCTCGATGATGTGTACGTGCACAAGTGTTTGCACACACGCTGTGCCAAAGATAAGACATCCTTTTGTAACTTGTTCCGAAATTGCTTTGGCGATAACGAGGTGTTGAAATTTTTTATATCAGTTCGATACAATTAGTACAATTTACTCGGTGCTATGTCGCTTTTTATGTAATAGATACTATAAGCGTTACATTCCCGATTATTGAATTACTGTTGTATATTATTTCGTGTTAGGTAATATCACACGTGTTCCAGGTAATTTAATTAAGCTTCACTGTGAGGGAGTAATTAACATCTTAACTGCAAAATGGGCTTATACGAATTTTATGAAAAACGAATATAAATTCTGTTTATAAATTCTTCTTTTTATTATATATGATTGTTATGAGAGAATATGTGTCTTTTAAGAATTTTATATAATAATTTGTGATGTGGTTTGATTTTTAATGTAATTTAGAAACTTGATAGTGAAGTTGGTGAATTTTTAGCTTTTGTAGGTGCTTCTTTTGTAAAATTAATATTTTATGTAGTTAATATTTTGCAATAGACATTATTACTGTTATAAGTTCAATTTTAATTTAATTATTGTAAGTATTAATTAATACTAATTAATTTTGTACGTTATTTTTATTATTTG